ATTGAATTTCAACATCAAGAAAACAAAAATTCTCACTACTGGGCCAATTGGGAGCATCATGATGGATGATGAAGAGAGTGAGATTGTCGACAGCTTCAGTTTGCTTGTCTCTACAATCAACACTCTTGGTACCAGCAGCCAGGAAATTAAAAGATGAATTGCACTGGGGAAAGTCTGCTGTCAGAGACCTCTCCAAAGTACTAAAGAGCAATGATGTCAGTCTGGAGACTAAGGTGTGCCCGATACAGGCCATTGTCTTTGCAGTCACTTGCTATGCATTGGAAAGCTGGAAAATGATGAGGAATGACTGAAGGAGAATTGATGCCTTTGAGCTGTGATGCTGGAGAAGAGTACTGAATATACCATGGACTGCTAAGAGAACAAACAAGTTTGTTCAGGAGAAGGTGAAGCCAGACTGCTCCTTGGAGACAAGGATTCTGAAGCTCTGTATGACATACTCTGGACATGTTGCAAGTCCGGATCAGTCTCTGGAGAGAGATGTCATGCTTGGGAGGGTGTAGGGACAGCGCAGGAGAGGAAGACCCTCGGTGAGATGGATTAACTCTGTAACTGGGTTAATAGGGATAGGTGTGTCAGAGACGGTGTAAGATTGGCAAGGGTTTAGAGCTGCTGTACATAGGGTCACTATGAGTCACAAGGGACTCAACACATAACAACAAAAACTACAATAATACATAGTTACTATATATACGGTTGAGAGAGAGATATGGTTGAGAAAAAAAATATATATATATGAGATATATATAGCACAATAAATAACTGTTCAATTTCAACCTCCTTTTTAAACAGTTCTCTCTGTGGTGCCGTAATTAAACACTCAGAGGTTATTATGAGGTCAATAGTTCAAACTACCAGACACTCTACTGAAAAAAGACAAGACACTTTGCTTTCATACTGATTTATAACCTTAGAATCTCTGTGGGTCAATACTAACCTAAAAGGTTTTCTATGAGCCAGACAGAATTGACTTGACAGCAATGGATTTGGGTCCTACCCCATCCCTATGGTACAGCTACAGTTTAAACTGTGCTTTCCTCCCAATATTCAAAAAGGATACGTATGCCACCTAACACATACCTTTTAATCTGTGTACTAGGTATTACAGTACCTATAAGTACCTATGTACTTGGTATATTAGGGAGCTCTGGTGGATCAGAGGTAAGAAATTGCTCTGCCAATGCAAAGAAAGGCAGTTCAAATCCAATAGTTGTTCTGCTATTAATATCTCTGAAAACCCATGGACGGTCAGATATAGATTGGTTTTGACGCGGTGGTTACTCAAAATATACCATGCATCTTTTGACAGCAAAAAATTCCAGGGCATTTAGTATGTAGGCATTACTTCACTCAACTCAACGACCAAAGTCAGAACTCACACATAGCTGCTCCTCCAGTGAATTTTCAAAGGCTAGAAAGCACACAGGAGGAGACTGCCCATCTTTTTCTAGTAGAGCACCTGCTGGATTTGAGTTTACAGGGCAACAACACTAAGCCATTAGAGTATTTAATATATAGGTACTAGTCCAAGTATTGGTTTAAAGGTCCCATAATTTCCTGGCTCTCAGCCATTCACCTATTTAAAATATCAATGACACCACCTTCTCTTTTATCTATGCTCTGGTTATCCATAAAGTAAGCTGTTGTTAGGTGTCATGAACTCATAAGATCCTTATGAACAGCTTGGAACCTTGCCCTAAACTACTATGTCATCCTCACATCACTAACAATTTTGAGCCCAATGTTACAATCAAGTTCCTGTCAAGTTGATTCCATGTCAAGGAAATCTCTTATGACAGAGGAAAAGTAGTCCATAAGATGTTCAATGGCTGATTCCTCAAGGTAAGATTGAAATTAATCTTTTGATTAATTATTTGCAAAATTCAGAGACTCTAACAATCACACAGTCTTTCTCAAAGCAGAAGGGATACTGATTAGAATCACAAGCAGGTTTATTTTCTCTCCAAGCTACAGCCAGATTCTTTGTGAATTTGGATTGAAAATGTATAATGAATTCAACTAGACAGCTAGTTAACCTATGAGACTACAATATGCATATAGGAAACGCTTGACAAATAGCAGTTTCCTGTTCCTACTATCTTTCAAAGCTCTAAAAACCTGCTGGTAAATTAAAAAAAGTTTTCGCCAACTATACTCTCACTCAAGTTCAAGAAACTGAATATCCAAAATAGCAAAGCTTTTTCAAGCCTACTGCTATCAAGTTTATCGTATTCATGGTGATTGTCCACCAAGTTTCTGAGGCTAAAAATCTTACTGGAAGGAAATGGCCTCCATTTTCTCCTTCTTCACTTCTAACTACTTCCAAACATATATTCTTTACAGAGATTTTGGGTTTCCATTCACTCACTGTTGCACTTTTCTTGTTCGCCCTCCCCAACCCCTCCAGTTCGCTCCTCTCTCTGAAAAGTAAAATTCCTTCATTGTTTCATTGGTATACAATCCCCCCACGAATCTGAGTAAGAGTGAAAAGTAGTACTCAATGTAAGGGGGGGAGATGGGGGGGGGGGCACAATTACGACGACGAAGGACACTGTTATTTCAACTCCAATGCCCAGATATACAGTATGATATATACGTAATCAGTGATAAGCATAACAGTTCTAGTTTATATTCATTTACTTATATTTCTTCTATTTTCTATTTTTTTAGAGTCAGTTCAAACCTCATCATTCTATCTTACCTACATTATTGAAATCTTGACCTTAAAATCTTATACTTCCTTTCTAGCATGGTGTTTGCTTGTTCAGACAACTAACGGACCTCATTAATCAAGTGGGATAAAAATGGGAGCCTAGTCTATCAGAAGAAGACTAGCAATCCACACTCAGCACTCGTTACATATTTTAGAGCTATACTCTAGAAAGAGTAAGTGTGCTCTGAGCTGCAACATTTCAGAATTGGCTTTGGTTCAATGTCCAGAAAGTGCTTCATTGATGTAGTTTTAAATTACTGTCAAGTAAATTTACACTCATGGAGACTCCATGTACAGAAAAGAACTATGACCCATAGGATTTTTTAAGGCTGTGCCCTTCCAGAAGCAGACTGTCAGGCCTGTCTGTACCATTCAGGGTTTCTTACGTAGCTATTTCATAAAATGAGCTATAAAAGCTTTTTGTCATATATGACTTTTTTAATACTAACAGTGCCTGGAAAAAAGGCACTTTCTAATGGAAAATAAAAAAGGTTGCTAATTTAGTAATTTAAATCCTTAATCCTCAGTGTAATTAGTTATACACGATAATACCTACCATTCAAAAGTCACTAGATTTCACTTAAAACTTTAAATATTACCCTACTTATAATTTCACATTTTCAGGTTGCAAAAAGCTATCATCAACATGTTTTAAAATATTCACAGAGCTGACTATATTACAAAACCACTTTCATTCATACTCCTGTATAAAACAACATCAATTCATCAAAGAAAATTTTTCTGTATTCCATAGTTGCTGAGATAAGCTGTAGAATTTAAAAAGTAACAAAGAAAATTCTTCACAATTGCTCTAGAGAAATAAAAAGTCATTTCCACAGTAAGAGTTAAAAGAAAAGTAGACATCCAGGATACTAATATCTACCCAAATCCAACGTCACTGAGTTCATCCTGACTCCTATTTACACTGTAAGACAGAGTAGAACTTTACCACAGTATGTCCAACGCTTTATATTTTTATGGTAGACAATGAGGAGCTCGCAGGTTTCAATTACTGATTTTTAAGCTAGCTAGCAGCTGCTTTTAACTAGTGTACTATGAGGAGTCCTAGTTTTAGCTCAAGAACTAAAATGAATATTCAATCAAGAATGAAAATCAACACTTAAGGGAAAAGTAACTTTTTTTTTAATGCACTGATATTTTTAAAGTTTTATTTTTTTCCCCTACTTGACTAAAGGACAATTTATAATATAAAAATCAGTAAGTTTTGTATTCTAAGTCTGTCTTAGTAAACTGTTCTCTGGGAGGGTGGGGGGGAAAAAAAAAAAAGAGAAAAAAGTAGATGGGAACTATGGTTGTCTACAAAATAAGCTTCTTCCTTATACTAAACTTCAATTTTAAAGGGCAAAAGTAGTATGGACACTATTCTGACTCCTATAAAATTTTTGGTTTTTATTATACTGGGAAAGTGTTCCAAATAAAATTATTTATCTGAAGATGGTTAACACTATCAACTATCAGATTTCTTATTGCAATTACTTGATTAGTCTATAATTTTAAATGGAAACTTCAAGCATTTTTAATCCATTCTCATATAAACGAATTACCAGAAATTATAAAATCTGATTAATATATAACAATTAGCAAAATTAATTTTTAAAATATTTTTAAATTTAATTTTATAAAAATTTATGTGGTAATAACAGCTAAAATTTATTGAGAGCTTACTATGCGCCAGGCACTGGGCTAAGTACCTTAAAAGTGTTAGAATACTTAAGTAGAATCTTAATGTGCAAGAGAAAACACACTGACTGTGAGTCAACAAAATCTAGATTCTATTCTCTGACTCAGTTAAAGCTACGGAAAAAATATTTCCTAAAACAGAGAACAATTCACAAACTGTTCCTACATGATGGTCTTAGAGTCATAAATGGTCTCTAAACACAAACTGCCTAACTAACCAACTAATCAGAACCCTTTCACTTCCTCTAACTAAAAACAAAGAGCAAGTCTGGTTTTAACTTATGAGCAAATGCTTCTCCAAAAATATTGTAAAAAACATAGAAACATTATATTTCAAACTATCCTATATCCAATAACAGCAAATTTAAGGTTTAAAATAATGACATTTTGTTATATAAGTGAAGTATAACCACCAAGAAGTGAAATAAGAATAATTCTGAAAATTAAATATCTCTCATTTTAAACCCTAGAATAAACCCATATGGGAAGCAATGGTGTTTTTTTTATTTAGTATTTATGTATTTTTCTCTTTAAATGAAGTATTCCAGAATAAATTCAAAATTCTTACTTTGTTGCCCGTATAAACTTGCCCCAAACTGAGACAGCTGACCTGATGTAGATGGTGATGCCAGCATCTAGAAACAAATTAATTACATTAGAGCATAAAGAAAGTATACAAAGCATTAAAGTCATAAGTTACCATCTGCACATCATACTATACAACATGGAAGATTCAAAACCTCACTTTTCACTCCACAAAAATAGAAATACAAATATTATGTAATAAATTGTTTCTTAATGCTTAATTACTATGTAGGTACTTTACATTAAACTGAAAACTGTAATAACATCAATAAAAAAGTCCATCTATAAATTTTTAAGTGAAATGAACTGATTTAGAAACACTATTACACAATCTTTATTCCATCTACTAAAATTGTACTAAAAGTACTTAAACAGAAAAATGTTGTGCTTTATATTTCATGATTATATACAAATAATTGATATGAATCATATAGGTAGAAAAATTATTCAACAAACATATAAAACTGGGAAGAACACAACATAAGAAAAAACTTAGACAAGGACACCGAAATACATGCGCGCACATGCGCACACACACACAGTTTGTGAATAACTGATGTAAATTTCATGGCACTTGTTAAATAACTGTTTTTATTTCCCTCTTACTGTTATTATGTATTGTTGAGCTGGAACCATCTCACAGCTGACATTGACCCTCAAGCACGTTTTCAGAGGCAGTAAGCTGCATGTGAGGAAACCACCCACCTTTAATTCAAAGGCAGGTGGTGGTTTCATACCATATGCCTTTGGCTTCCCAGCATACTAAACCCTACAGCTCCCTCTTTTCCTATATTAGAAAATAAATTCTTTGCAAAGATGTTACAGTCATGGAATATGTGATATTCAATTTTACATTTCCTCAGAGAGGAGTACAGTGCTACATACATATACTTAAATTGAAGAAACAAAAAATCTGTGTATATACTTCCATGTATGTGTATTCTTCCTGTATTAGCAAACTATCAAACACTCATAATATAGAATATGTCATCAAGAGGATTACAATGTAAAATGTGGAGAGTTATACTAATTATAACCAGAGGCACAATATTGTAGATACTCAAGAGCTGGTAGAGAGCCATCACTGAAGGAAGATAATTCTGAAGAATGACAATGCTGTGTACCTTCAACTTGGAAATGCCCATAGCTAACCCTCTAGCAGGTTTACAGAGGCAGTAGATTAAGTAAGAGGATCTGAGTTTGTGGATTTGAACCATGTGCTTTTAGTTGGCAGCCCAACTCCTTATCACTAAGCCAGAAGATAATGAGGTAATAAGAACACCAGAGTGGTGACACTGACATGGGTACTGATACACATTTTCTTAGGTTTAGAAGATACAATCAATTTAAGTATAATAAAAGTTAATGATGTGACTATAGCGGCAACTAGATAAAAGGGTAATGGGGGAAAGTGAAGGGGTGCAGCCTTTTGCATAATGGAGGATACAGAAAAGAATATGTTGGGGCAAGATGGTGGTCTTTTTGAATGTCCTACAGAGACAGCTACTAACTATGGCAAATGAAAGAATACATATTGAGCAAGTAAATAATAAATATTAGGCATTGGTAAGATAACTAAAGAGGTTATATAGTACATGTATTATTAGGAAGCTCTGGTGGCTTAGTGGCAAGAAGCTGCACTGCAGTTCAAGGCCACCGGCTGCTCCGTGGAAGAAGAATGGGCAATCACCTCCTGTGTGCGTGATAAACTGCCTCCAAAAACCCAATGGAGGGTCAGCTATAGGTGTGTTTTGACTCTATGGTACACAACAACAAGAAGATAATTCCAATAACAGAAATGGATGGGAAAGGAAACAGAATCCAGCAGAAGTGGGGCTAGAAAGGAGGGATATTTGATGATAAGAAGCAGAAGTATTTTGTGCTTAGTTTAAATGGATGGGGTCCTAAAAAAAGTTGATTGTGTGGGCATGGAAAATGATCAGATAGGGAACTATGAATCCAATAAAGGAGGAACACATGATCACTTTAAGAACAGAAGGATTACAACAATGAAGGTTTCGTAATGCACATACATACTACTTCTAAGTAAAAATTCTTAATTTAATTAATTATTCTGAAGCTGACTACAATTTTAATGAAATAGTACCTTCTAACTCAAGTGACTCGACGGCACATAACAACAACAACAACCTTCTAACTATTGATACACGTTACTCTCCTGAGGTTACACACCATTCTAAAAACAGAAATATTTATAACACTCAAATATTTTCTTTAGGAAGCATTTAATCTTATATTTCCTTTCCAAAATCATAGGCTGTATAATCAAATGAATTAAACTAATAGTTAAGAAATTCCAGAAATTTTTTAAGGAAATATGCATTTGAAGCTTGACCAAGTCCTCCTGTTGGCTAATACATTCATAACTATATATTATATATTCATAACTATATATTACTATATAACTATTTCATAAACATATTAAAAATTCATGTCTAAATTCTAAAAATAAGATCAAAGGAGATATATAATGAGAAAATGAGTGAAAGAAAGTAAATGATATAAAAATGTTTGAGAATCCTATTTTGCTATTATCTCAAGTTGTAAATTAAGAGTTCATTCTAAAGGTTTAAAGTAAAAAATGCACACTAATGAGTACGATTTTGAATGATGCATTATATAAGCATTTTAAAATTTTCGAATGCATCACTTAAAATGTTATTCTTCCCAGAAAACAAAGTATTTACTAAATACATCACCATGAACAGATGTTTTTGTCTACTTTCCCACAAAGATACTACATTCAAAAGCAATTTTTATATATGCTAAGTAATCAGCCCTTTCAGTACTGGGTGAGTAGTGTGAAAACAAAGGAGACATGGCTAATTAATGAAAAATACCTAGAACCAAAAGCAGCAGGATAATTATAGGGTGATACAAAAATATTTCATGTTTATATATGCCATTAGGAAGCTTTGGTGGCTTACTGGTGAGAACCTGTGCTGCAATCCCAAAGGCAGAAGGTTCAAATCCACCATCCACTTTGTGGGAGAAGAAGGATGGGCAATCTTTTCTTAGTGTTTTATTATTTCAGAAAACCAGGTGGGGGGGGTGTCAGCTATGGATCAGTTCTGACTTGATAGTACAAAACAGTAACAAAAGCAACAATATATGTCATTACATGAAAAAGGTTAGTCAATACAGTTCTATTAAAAACAACAACAACAACCAAAAAAAAAAAAAACCAACAAAAACCCCAACATTGTTCTAGAGGAAAATGAAAGCAATCCAATCTTAACTTGCAGGTTACACATTTTTAAGACATACACTTAAATACAAACTTTCATCAATCAGCTAAACAGACAGATGTAAAGTGAGTACTTTACAATGTCAAAAATATAAGTATGTAATTTCTTATAAAATCTATAATTAAAAGACATTATTTATAAAAAAATAAATGACTATTAAAAATTTATATAACACACAATGAAAGAATAAATTTGAGAAAAATGTTAAGAAGAAAAGAAAATGCACAAGTACCCTGACAAAGTAATGATCATCCTTTAATAGGTAAGAGGATATTTATATTATTAAATGCTTAAAGTTAATGTACAGATGAATTTTAATTTATTATAAAAATACAGAACTTTAGATTCAGAAACACTACAGTAGGAAACACAGCATCAGAAAAAAAAAATATCTTTGGGACAAAAACAAACAAAAAACACACCCAACTTGGTCTGAATTCTACTGCAATTTACTAGGATTGCACAGCACCTTGTTTCCTTGGTATAGGGTGGAAATAACACCACCTACATAACAGCCTTTGTATAAACAGAAGATCAGGAGACCTACTGCTATGGGCAAGTCTAGCATCAGGGACTTTTTGAAAATACTGAACAGCAACACTGTCCATTTGAAGACTAAGTGCACCCGACTCAGGCTATAGTCTTTTCAATCACCTGCTATACATCTGAGAGCTCAACAATGAGTAACGATGACAGGAGAATTATTGATGCCTTTCAGCTATGGTGTTGGAGTAAAGTGCTGACTATCCCAGACTGCCAAAAGAACCAAACAGTTATGTTTTGGAAAATCTGCAGTCAGAAGGCTCCTTGGAGGAAAAAATGGCAAAGTTCTGTCTCATATTTTGGGCATGGTCCTCGGAGAGGTTACTCCTTTAAAAGGGGTATCATGCTTGAGAAGCAAAAGGGTCAGTGAAAGAGAGGAAGATCCCCATGGATTGATATAGTGAATCCTGCAATGGGTTCTGATGTGTCAGAGAAAATAAAGATGACATAGGATAGGATAGGACAGGACAGGACAGGACAGGACTCAGGACTGTTGTTCAAGGGGTTACTATGAATCATAATCAACTTGATGGCACCTAACAATAAAAGTACTTTAGAAAACTGAAGTGACAATTAAATGAAGATAATACGACACACAATAAGTGCGAAATTAATCTAATCTCCTCTCAAACTAGGACTTTTATTAACAGTAGGCAATCAGAAGGCCATTCAGCCTCTGAGGATTTTTAAAATAATAACCTAAGGATGTTTGTTTAAACATGCGTAAGGTGTATTTGACACAAGTCACATGCATATCAAAGTTGAATAACAAAGAAAACTGATGCCTCTAAATTGTGGTAATGGCAAAGAATATTGAAAATACCATGGAATTCCAAAAGATCCAACAAATCTGTCTTGGAAGAAGTGCAGCTAGGACATGCCTAAGAGGTAAGGGGGCAAGACTCGGCCACACATGCTTTGGGCTTGTTCTTAGGAGGGGCCAGGACTTTGAAAAGGACATAATGTTTGGAAAAGTAGACAGTAAGTCAAGGAAAGGAAGACTTTCACTGAGCTAGACTGACATAGTAACTGCAACAATGGGTTTAAGGACCAAGGAGACATTGAGGAAGTTCTTTGGTTTTGATTTGTTGTAAATAAAATTTCCATGAGTTGGGAGTCCAAGTGAAGGCACATAAACAACAACAAATTTTTCCACATTTGGCCCAAGGAACTAAAATAAGAAGCTTATGTTAACAATTCTCAGGAAAAAGAAGTAATCAGAACTTGTTTCTTTAGTG